GCCATCTTGGTGCACATGGACATACCACGTACAACGTAAACACCTAACTTATTTATACCCAACTGTCTGTTGAAGGATGTGTACTCTCCATAGTGTCCCATGTTGTACGGCAAGGTAAAATGACATCCTCGTGTGGGATGTTGGTGTACAGGGAGACTACATTCATGCTTACCAGGGGCGTATCTTCAAGTAGATTACTAGAAGGTGTCTCTTTTAGACAGTGCTAGGTATCTTTCAGGCAAGAGGATATGTTCGCTGCATGAAGTCTTCATTGGAAGTCAATGAACTTTGATATTTTATCTGTAAGCGAAAAAAAATTGCGGAGCTAGGTCTGAAGATCGATTTTGGGTATGATTGAACTATTTCATATAGATCTTTGAATGCTTAACTTCTACGTCCCGGAAGGAAAAACATGTTTTTGTGTTAATTATATTTGCCATGGCGTATACCTACCATTTAAGACAAACATAGGAAAGTCTTCAAAATGCAAATATTGTGCTAAATGCTTATCATACTCAGACGGGAAAATGACAGCGAACCTTTAATGGCTTCATCAGAAATGTACTCATCGCTTAGTCTGGAGAATATTAAACCACACTCAAGCACATGCAAACTTGTTTTGGTTATTTTCTCGTACCCTTTGCCGAAGTATATTGATGTATGAATGACATGTACTAACTGTGAAATGTGGAAACGTTAACCAAGAAACTTCTGACAAGGAGTTTACTTGTAAGCATGAATAGGGTTTCTAGCAATGAAATTGGTTTAAATAGATTGACTTTGATACGCTTTGATGATCATAGATGATAATGATTGCAAAAAAAAAAAAAAAAAACAAAAACAAAAAAAAACAAAAAAACTGTGAACAATAGGTAAGTGACACAGGTCATTTGTATTTGATAAAACATGAAAACACACCGAGGATCTGATGGTTTTGGGTCGTCAACATTAAATTTTTATTTACTATCAATTCTATCAAGGCCATACCGATAACATAAATTATTGTACTGAAGTGTTCTTCCCTGCTGTGAGAAGACAAATATGTGGTTGTGAGCTAAACGGAAGCGTATTTCGTAACAAATAAGTCCAGGTCAAAGAAGATGGAGGGCGGAGGACGAAATTATAAAAAAAGATCGAGTTACTGATTCACAAGATCGTCGAGTTTGGTGGTAAGATCTTCCAGCAAAATATTTGCATACCTATGTGAACTTACTGTGCCTCTCGGTTGGCTGACTGACTTGTTTTTGTTTTCTTACGAGGCTGACTTTACTGAATATTTCATCAAAACATGTCACAAAGACCTTGCAGCGTAGTTTAACTTCACTTTCTGATATGTTGGCGATGTATTGTCACGTCCATCTATATCTGGAAATCAAAGATAGGATACACTCTACATCAAATGCTTATCTACATTTTTTTTTCTTATTAATGAATCAACATGGACAGCTTTCCATCAAACTGTAGGATAATTTCCAAATTACCTATTTTGATTTTGCCGTTTCTGGTGGCAATAAACCTGGATCCTCAACCTGTGTTTTTTTCCACGTCGCAGTTGAATTTTATATGCAATGTCATGTTCCCGTAATCACGATGTTCGTGCGTGAAGTCGCCAACTGACGGACAAACTCGTAATTCAGGGCTAAAAAGATGCAGGTCGATGAAAATTATAGGGAAGTGATGATTCGACACTGAGAATAAAACATTCATGAATAATATGAGAAATATTTTTTTCTTAAAATTGCGATATTCGACACAAGTTTCAACAATTTAGGATCAAGTTCCGCCAGGGAATAATCAGCATGTGATTTCGTAATACTATCCCAAGGGGAAGGGGAATTCTTTGACAACTTGACGTCACATTTCTTTCTCAAACGTCACCGAACTAATTTACTAATTTAACACATGAGATTTTGTAAGATATTGGCACATAAATCGTCCAAAACTAATATATCCTGATCGAGATATATAAGTCTCTGTTTAATTGATATTGTATCCTTATTCCTACTGTATTTTCTTCAGATCTTACATATGCACGATCAGGTTATTCGTCAGCAAAGTTACATCATTTATGTTATAAAACGACACAGGCAGAGATAACACTCAGATTATAGATAACGAAATACTTGTTTTTACATCACTCGAACCTACACTCTAATCTCCTCGTTTTATCTGTTATGCAGGGATTTAAAATAACAATATAAGGGTAGTCTATACGTCTAAAGTCCTATAACTTCTGTACGTTGTTGTATTGAAGAGCAGGTAAGATATTTATGTTAAACAGGTCAGGATTCGCTACGTATATTAGAGTTAGGGTTAATACAGTGTGTTATTGGTGAATGTGTTCCAATTCCAAGATGTTAAACACGGCAGCCCCCAGGTCGTCAGTCAGACTGGAAATATTCAAAATATCCCTGGGTCAGCCGGTTGGTTAGTATCACTGTTTAATGTTCTAATAACTATATCAGGTCAGAAGATCTATGTATTATTTACCGTGAATACAAACATTTATAAATGTCTTTGTCTACCTATATTTCATTTACATAAATAATTGTATATTGTTACCCCTCTATGTTGTACTATCCTTATGTTATACAAAAGACCAGAAACAACCGTTCTCAAGTACAAATGTTGAGTATTAGCACAAGTTACAACAATGATAACATGTATGGCCTGAGTATCGAGCTTAACAAGTTACTCGTTCCACGGCCACACCAGGACTGACTCTATTTGCTGTGATCTTACAGTTTATCCTAAAGTAATTATGATCCAATTCTGATTGGAAAAATGTCTTCTACTGATCTACAATTAAACCGTGAACAGTTAATGTCTCACTGGTGGAGAGCATGTCCAGCCAATGTTTCACGGCATGATTCTGACACGAAGGTGACCGCAATTAAACTATCTGTCTGATAAGCCAGCCGGTCACATTAAGATTTAACACAAATTATGTACTACACTTGAGTGACAAATTTCACCATTAACATATATAAATCAGAATTCCCGAAATGAAAGTTATTACGCATTGAAGTCAAATATCAGGACGGTTCGCTTAATGCCTGTAGGGATCAACAGTAATGTTCTACACAAAAATATCTGACGCTTTCTGATATATATTTATATTTCTTATGACACATTTCCCAACGAATGAGATGATTTGTTGTCGTGTGAAAAATGCTGCTGAAATGGAGTTTTCAATAGCCCCGCTAGAGCAGACTGACCCCAGGTCGGACAAACGGGGATCATCAAAGCCGCACAGGGGCCAATTATACTGACCAATCAGTGATCACCTGACTTAATTATCATACATGCATTTACATATGAACTGAAACATCATGTACATAAAACCTAAGCATGTGTGAACCTTTATCGTACAAACATATGTCTATAAATAGACATTTTTTTGTCCTGCTAAAGTATAAAAGAAATGATTCATACCTCGAGCTCTGTTTGTCAAGAAAATTAAATTGGCTGTAAAATATTGGCATACCCCCCCCCCCTCTTTTTTTTAGAAAAGGGAAGCCTTTATTTTTAACCTAGTTTAATTATCATGTAATTATAAAAAATTCATGATAACATATTTAGGGCAACTGATAACATATGTTTTTCATTCGAAATACTTACGTAACAACAGCGTTTCTCTCTGTATAAAACTTGCGATGTTTTAAAATATTGAATGCAGGATTAATTGTGAAAAAGTTTGAAAACAAGACCGGACCAGGAATTTTACTCCGATATTCTATTTACAATTAATTCATTTTCTTGTATACTTGAACACAATGTCCACAGGTGAACGGATCGAGCGAACCTCTGATAACGGTCGCTACCATGGCAACGTGTTTGGACTTTTGTAGTAATATAACTATGAAAAAGGCCATTTCTTTCCCAAAAGTATTTTTGGACTCGTGACTTGTTCTAAATTTGTATTGAAAGGTGCAATTCCCTTTTGTATTGACCTAGAACATCCGCAGTTATAAAATATAGACCACAAAGATAGGTACATCAACTAATGGAGCTGATACATGTGAACATATAAAAACATCATGTGAACCCAAGAAAACGAAATTATATACGATATATACTCTCCTATAATGCATTTGCTATGATGTATATGAGACAATTCAACGGAGTAATTTTAACAGATTACATTTTAAAACTTGATCAATATAAACAAAAGAACAGAGGTTATCTTCAAAATAAAATCGGACAATGAAGCCGCACATATTGCTATCTGTTTTTTATCTGAGTACATGATATAACTTATTACTTTCTTAGATTGACCAAGGCTTAACGTTACACTACGTTTGCTCTGATACTACACATATTTTTTTGTTCGAATATATAGCAGGATTAATTTCAATGTATTCCACGTGTTGTCTACATGAGTTCTATTCAAACTTTCAGTTTATTGTTACGAGAAGTCTGTTAACTCTTTTTGTGATATAAATTCGCTTTAAAAGAACGCAAAGAAAGTATTTATTTATTTAACATGTTCTGTTGGCGACTATATGTTATAAGTGTAGATGCAACACCAGTGTCTAACATCTGGACCTGGTATTTCCTGACTTAATAATTCCCGTCCAAGTTTATTCTTTGGCGTTGAGACCAGTATGAATGCATATCCCATTGTATAGCACCTTGTATAGACTATGTATTAGAATATGAACAAGAAATACCCAGCAATACCACAAAAAGTACTCGCTTCATGATATGATTCCTTCATATACACGAAGGAAATAGATAACTTGCACAAATGATTGGTGGAATAAACTCTAATTGACGATATTCTTTCTGTTGTATTTTCAAAACAAAACTGAGACAGATGTGATTTTCATGTTTCCTAACGGTATTTTTGTTTTGTTCTTCCACCAATATGTCAATATCAAAGTTTTATAATCTCCTTTCAGAAACTCCGCCATTGCATCGGTGATTGTTTCTTTCCTTATTTTATGCTTTATTGAGGGGGAAATTTTTTCTGATATTCTAGGTTGACGAGACTCAATATGGAGCTTGTAAGCATCACGGATGAAGACAACAACAAGTATTTTTACAAAAGATACGATGGTTATGCGTTCAATACATTAGTTCTAGGAAATGTTCGAGACCAACTTTCGAAGATATCAAAAATGAAATGTAGATCTGAAGATGTTCTCATAGGCGTCTTTCCCAAATCGGGTAAGTATATTTGCTTAAACTTTACATATTTTAAACTTCTCAAGTTCTGTAGGTGGGGTCAATCTGTAACTTAAGTTCCACTGGTACCATTGACCTATAAATTCGAGCAGAGTTTTACATATTAATTTTTGGCGTCCGCGTCGATATAAAGGTCATTTCGTAATATTGCGCAATCATGGTGTTCCTAAACCACACTTACCATAAACTGTGTGAATATAACATGTAAAGCATAATGTGATAAAAGGATTTGAACTTGGCTGATCAAGAGCTTTTATTTCAGAATGGGTTCGACATAGAAAATGGCCTCCATGACCGCCATCTTGAATAGCACAATTTAATATTTTCAATATCCATAAGTGCCAATGAGCTAATAACTGGTGGAGATGTTAAGGAAAAGAAGCGGAAAAACTTATATTATTTTATCCTCGTCAAACTTTGCAATCATTAACTTACATGATTGTGCTGTCATGAGTACATTTTGAACTTCTTTCCGAGTTCCTTTGACGGAATTCAGCTAAAACTTGCTTGAAATGTTCATGAGATAGTCCTGACCAAATCTTGTTACGTTTCGGGTCTATTTGAAATCCAATATGGCCACCATATTTGTCTTGAAGGACCGTCAAATGGGAGTGAAACCATGTACTGATTGTTCACAATTTAAATAAATACGAAAGATATCTTTGAAGGTACACACTGGCTCTACAACACCGTGATGATGTTGCGCACCGGGACATTGAAGTACTACGGCACACCAACTCTACTTCAATTCCAAGAGATTTCTACTGTAGACGAAATGCAAACACCGAGAACATTTGGCTCTCACCTTCGATTCCGGTTTCTCCCCGATGAAATGAAGCTTGGTACAGGGAAGGTTATTACCATAACCCGCAACCTTAAAGATTTGGTGGTTTCTGTTTATCATATGCTGCGAAACATGGAAGATATTGGGTACCAAGGAACATTTGATGGGTTTTTAAAACGTTTTGTCACAGAAGAATGTATGTTTTAGATATTTTCTTTCAGGATTTAATTCATTTATAACCAATCTGAATCGTTCAAATGGTACAGTTTACCATACATGTCTTCTACTCAGTATTTCATTTGTATATACACTTGTATTTCATAATTACTCAATGATGCCTTTTGAAAAGTATCTGTGTTCTTTTTTTTTTTTTTTTTTTGGGGGGGGGGGGGGGCGTGGCACCAATGAAAAAGGGGATAGAAACATGCTTTTTTATTATGCCATTTTGTTAATATGTCTTAACAGAAGCTTGCATAATCAATACTGTTTTCAGTACTCCCCCGTTGTCTAGCACTGCTATACCCCATTGCATAATTAGTAAGAAGCGGTTAAATTTGGAGCCTTACAATCTGGTAGTTGTATCTTTCTGTTATAGCTTAGCACTGCTTTATTGCAATGACTGTTTGGTCCAGTATGATCGTGTTCTAGTACTATTGAGAAGACATTGAGTTATTTCAAGGATGCTTACACAAACGTATCGCATACTGTCGAAGAAACATACACTCGCACCCCTTATTGCATGACATAGACGCATTCTAGAGTTTCAGATTTTAGGGGGTCTACACAATAACAGGATGACAACTCTTCAGAAAGATCCAACACTTCGAATATGTGACTAAGATTTCAACAGGGCAATTTGAAGGTTCGATAACTGTATTGAAGTGTGCAAACTGTCATGGCGATAAGGATTTCTTGCATGTAAAATTTGGAAGTAGTAGGACAAAAAGGTTTATGAATCATGTCGAGACGACTTTTATTCTTTATTTTCAAAAACTGTCAGATGATGAAAATTATTGAGAGGTTTTACTGTCTTCATAGTGATCTCATTGAGAAATTTCTTTGTGCGATATGTATCTGGATGTATTTGATGCTTTTTAGTTTGCCTGTAAGTTCCTTTGTTGATACCTCATTACATAACCTACAAGGATTAACCAGGATTTACGTGATGGGTGTCGTCGATGAAGCAAAGAATCTTACTCTTCTGGAACACCTGACCTTATCCTCAGAAGTCCCCATGTAAATCTTTCTTTTGCTCCTATTTTGCCCTAGTTTACGGAATTTGAGTTTGAAAAACATTCATCCATTGCATGATTGTAAGAGGCGAATGAACTTGGTTTCTGTCAAGTTTTATAACTAAGTATTTAGCAGGTGGTTTATTTAGTGCTGCTGAGAGATCGCCTTAATTGTCCTTAATGTATGATCTGTTGTTTTATTGATCATATATATTCAGGTTTCCTGGGAAATGGATCATGGTTTTCTTGGATCAAGGATATGGAAGAATGGAACAGCCCAAACCTGCTATGTTTATCATATGAAGATTTCAAGAATGTAATGTTGTTTTGAATTGAATACAACTTTTCATAATTAATATCGAAGTTCGATTTTATAATTATTCAATATCACAAATCTTCAAGCAATCATATGTTCAGTCATTACTTTAAGATAGTTTGATATTTATACCTTTCTTCGTGTTGAAATTCAACCTGTTTTATTTCAGAACACGTATGAAAACGTTGTCAAGTTAGCCAAGTTTTTAGAGCTTGATCACAACGAAGACTTCCTAAGAAAGGTAGAACAAAACATCAGCTTCGATAAGTTAAAGGAACAACACAATATTGTAAATACGGCCAGTGACCGATGGGAAGAGATAACAGAGGATGGACGACTTCCAATATACAGGAAAGGTATATTAACAAACATTCGTGATGAAAATAGATGTAATGGTTTTCCAAACAGACTATATAAATCCCAAATACTCATCCAAATGATGTCGAAAATCAGCAAGTAGCAGCTATTGTGACAGCGGGTGTAATAACACACACCAGGTTTTGAGTTTTTAAAAACTTTTACAAAAAAATTAATTTATAAATTAATTAAAAACAATTAAAATGACATTGAAATAAAGTACGTTTCAACTATAGTACAGAGGGAAAGTGAAAATAAGCTGAAAGATTTTGAAAAATGAAATATTGAATATTGTATAGACTGATAAACAGCCTGCTTTGACAATTTTTCTCGCCCAATATTAATAGTCATATGTTTCATTTTTTCCAGGTCAAATTGGAGAATGGAAAAATACATTTATAGTTGCCCAAAGTGAATGGTTCGATAAGATTTGTAAATACAAAATAGAAGAGATGTCTATCAAGACAAAAGTCAATTGATGCTTTTAGTGGTAGGTTTCTGAATAAAGTTTATGCAAATATTAGATAAATATTGGCAGTTTCTATTCGCTAACATACTATATACATACATGCATTTATTGAATTCTTCATCCCTTGTTACTTAATTGTCGTTGAGCTCTTCCGATTTAGCATTGGAGTTCCTCGGAGTCATTTAGCTGATTTTTATTGTTCATAGTATTCAGCCGAGAAGCATTAAAGCACGAACTTAATATTAAATTATTTCCTGTGTTGTTGAAGGAATTTTGAAGGAATTTAAAATTTCAGCACAGACAATTTCATCTGCTTGCTCGTCACTTTCTTTGAAAAGCTGCATTTCTTGTTCCCAGTCTGCTGTGCTATTACTGAAGGTTTTGCACTGAGTTGTTATTTGGAGGTAGGCGTTTGTCCTTGTTACTTTAATCAATAATATTCAGAATGCAGCATAGGTCCACTATTTATCAGCCTGCAAGCGATGATACTTTAGAGAAGGAATCCCAGTTCTTATAGCCTTGATAGATGTGATTCTACTGATTTTACTAACTTGGTTGCTGTCATTTATTCCTTTTTCAAAGATTGCATTCTCCTTTTTGTTAAGATTGCTGTGGCATATTTCACATGAGGTCTTACGAAATACTTAGAAAAGTCCATTAACAAAATAAACAAAAATCATTGGTTTTTTTCGCTAAACACTCAAAGTGCAATAGAAATTTCAGATTGTCAAAGTTATTGCCAGGTCTTTTAATCCTCAAAATTAAGATGTTCTCTCCATTGGTGGTATAGGTTCCTGTGTCTTAAATGGTATCAAACACATAGACTTTACCTCTGACAACATCCCGTGAGTCTTAAATGTAGATAGGGAGTAGAGTCAACCAAAGAAAACTGCAGTGGGGGAATGCTCTCAGGACATGCGCCCATTCAAATGAGTTATCCTTCACAGTTAACCCTCTATTTCCGACATGTTAGAAAAATCTTTCATTTAGCATAGCAGACATAATTTTGACTGGACGTATTATGGTCTGGCGTTGTTCGTCTGACCGTCCGTCGTAAACTTTTATTTCAGTAATCTTTGGTACGGTACCATGTCGACTGTTTCATGAAAAGTATATAACTACATTTGTTGTCAAACCTGTCTTTTTTTCGAATGCAGTCATCAATTGTGTGACACATGAATTACCTTTCCGGAACACATGTTACTGTACAGTGAATAATTTGTTCCCTTCCATCTTATACAATTTACTCCATGGCTTTTGAAGCACCAAATATCAGGAATATAGGTCTTAGTTTATGTAAATAGCAGTCACATTTAAAAAAAAATTTCTCCCAATCTTCTGGAACGGACAAAATCTTGACCATCATAATTATCAAAGGTCTTTTTAATTGAAGTTAACTTGACTCCCTCATCCTAATCATAAAAGGAGCGGTTAACTTGACTACTTAACCATGACTGTCAAAGTATTGGTTTAACTTGAATAAAATTGACCCCCTTTCATACGAATTATAGTGACAGCTTAACCAGTTTGAATCCTGGGAAATATAGTGGACAGTTCAATATATGTGATGTGCTCATGAATCTTAAAACAAACCAAAGTATTGTACAAAATGTGCACAATGACTAACACAATTTAATGCAAATTTTGATACACGAAGCAAACAACATGATTAAAAATACCACGTTAATTCCTCGTCAGCCCTTTACACATATACACCATTTTAATACATAATTGATTTGCGAAATCACTTGTCTGTATCCTTTCGACTAAGTGGACCATGTGTGTATCATGTGCTCAATGTTTGCCTGTTAGAGAAAAACTATGTGCCTTTGCTCATGAAACATTGTTTTCAATAGCATTTTTCATGTTTTTTTAAAACTTTATATTTTATTAATATGTCTACCAATAATACATGGTACAGGTTGTCACTCATTATTATTTCATTGATTTTATTGGTCACGCTTCACTAGGTGTTCACTTCCTCTACGACAACTCCAAGTGGATTCAGCTAATACTGCTTCTGGTGACCTGTGGAAACTAGCTTGGAGACTTCATCAAATTATTGATGATGTGGCACAAATCAGGCTCTTTAAATCTGTCCGTACAGATGGCCGCGATCCTCCAACAACTCGTCCATGTATGAACATCGGCTATATTTTACATCAAAAATCTGTTCAAGCTAACATTCCACCATACTTTCACAGTAGAAACATTTCTATACCTTCCAAAATAACTCCAATCCCATTGCATCCAAACTTTTCAACTATCAACAAACGCTGCAGCAATTGAATGTAGATGACCCAAGAACAAGTCCTCTGTCCGCTACCACTTCTTACAAATATAATTACATTTCCTCTATACAAAAAGAACTGGGCTTGCTTGATAACGAAGGAAATCCCACCTATACCGTGTGCAATCCAAAAATACGAAAAACTGACTAATGTTGCTTCGGCATTACAATCATTTAGATTGCCAATTAATGATAAGGATGCGGACCTTCCCCTTTTATACTGGATCTCTTAACTCCACAAAAATCCATACAATCAACGTTTTATAGCTTGTCTAACTGTTTAACAAAGCCTTTGTCTAATTTGTCTAAACTACTTACCACCCATTCTAAGTTCAAATCTAGGTTATTGTCTCGTTGTTATACTGGTGCATTTTAAAAGAACTCCAAAGAGCTTTTCACCAATTGTCAAAAACCCTATTCTAAAAACATTTCGTCTGTAAGAACATTTTAATTTTCCACCCTGTACACCACCACACCCCATTTTAAACTGAGAGCTTTCTTCACGAAGAAAGGTGAACGGTGGTATAAATATATGGTTGTGAACTATACTGAAGCGTATTTAGTAAAATTTCCGCCTAAATCATACTGTAATTCTTGAAGAGCTATCTAAACAGGTCACAAAGACCTTACAAAATAGTTAACTTTCACCTTCAGATGTATTGATGACGTCTTGTCTTTAAATAACAAGAAATTGATTGACTACTTCCATCGAATATCCACCAGAATACCCACACACACCCTCTCCTACCCAAAGACACACATATATATTGATATACATACCGAAAGGCCTAGAGACATATTCGGCTGTTAACTTCCTTGAAAGGAGCCAGGCAGATTTTTAGAATAAAGATGATACTGTCATACTTTCAAGGCCATATGGGTCAAGCATGATACTGACCAAATATCAGTGCCCTGGGCCTCAGTTTTCTAGGAACTTGTTTGAAAATTTAACATATGTGAACCCTGTGACCTTGAAAGTGGGCCAAGGTTAATAATTTGAATAAAGTTGGTCGTCCTTTAATCTGACACGCTACAGGCCTGATATCGGCACCTTGAGCCTATTTGTTAGTAGGTGTGAGAAGATGGCATTAAGAATTTATGTAGGAATTAAACTTTAATGCTTACCACGTTTTATGGAACTATTTCTCTAAGACTATAATCAATAAGGCTCGCTAGGAATTGTTCCATAAAAGCATGGTTACCATAAAAATAAAATTCAAATCTTATATTTGCACGCCAGTGTCTTTTTATCAAAATTTATTGTAGAGCAGTCCTTGTTAGTAGTGATAACTCCGAAATGTCGGTTGTTGGTTTAATGAGTAGAACAATTACTGGTGACTCTTCACAACAAATTAAAAGTTTTCCTCTGCGGCGACAAAAGCTTCCTTTTTAAGTGTGGTATAGTAGCATAAAAATAAACCAAAAATACCAAAACATTTTCACGGATTACCATTTTTAATCAAATTAAAATTTTGATGATATGTCTTGTTTGTAAATGTAATAAACCAAATGTAACTATATATCATGTGCCTGGCAAAAGCAGTTCATGTATCATTTTCGGGCGCAAGTCCAAAAGTCAAATGTTTCCATGCAAGTGTTATATAGTCATAAAACTTTGCAAGTGAAAATGTAGCATTATTGATCTCTTTCACCTTGAACTAAGTGAAGTGGGCCAATGTCCTTAATTTGAACAAAATTGAAACCCTTTATCCCAGCATGCTACTGAACATATATCAGTATCCATGGTCTTTTGGCTATTCTCCAAAAGATATAAGATATATGAACATTCTAATATATAAGATTATGAGACCTTAAAGATGGGTCGGTAACAATCAATTCTTATAAATAACCTCGGTGGTCCTTTATCCTGACATGAAATAGTCGCGATATTAGCGCCTCAATCCTATTGGTTATTGCGGAAAAGTCTTTAACATATTATCATCACTGATCCCCCTACTGGTCAATCATTTAAATAATAACCTTGATAGTCCTTTATCACAGCATGCTACAGGCCCAATATCAGCACGTTCGCCTTATGTTTATTGAAATTTCAAATTTTCAACTTATTTGACACTGATGACTTTGGATGTTGGTCAAAGTTAATCGATTTGAATAATTTTGTCGCCTTTTATCTACACATACTACAGGTCTAATATCAGCACCCAGTGCATTTAGTTCATTGCAAAGAAGTCGTTTTAATGGAAAAGTTGATGCTGGATGAACTGATGACGCATACCGCACAACGGTATATGCTCAGTTGCCCAATCGGGAATTTGAATTGCAAATAACACAAACAACGTCGATGTATAAAAGTAGCACACGGTAGACCTCATTTATTTTATTTCTTACGTAAATTTTAATGATGATTATAACAGGACTGTACAATTATTATTCAGCTTTGCATCTATTTCCCCTGATATTTTACATTGTTACGAATGATCACACATTTGATAGTGTCACTAAATTATCACTTTTATAACTTGTAACACAATCCCTGTCACATCTGACCATAATTTATTGATAGTCTCGTGGACTAAATACACACAGTAGTACTATTAAATTGTCAGGAAAACGATTATGGAAATGACATAAATATACATATTGTGTAAACAAATATAATGGTATTCGTCATCATCAATGTTGCAATTCCAGTCATGTCAACAATATCTGACATTTTTTTAATTGTCGTTGGAAAAAACGGCTTTCATTTGGTGACACAG